TGTCAACCCACACCCTGGTGGCTGCAGATCAAGCCACTCTGGAAGGGAGGGGAGGGGAGGAGGCTGCCCCGTGCAACCTCACATCGTCAGAGACCCAGACAAAGGCCAGGCTGAGCGAGTGACGGGGACAGGCAGGTGTGTAGAGACAGCTTCCCCAGAGCCTCAGGCTGCCCCAGCCGTCCTTCCTTGGGAGGGTCCTGCAGGAGGTAAAGGAAGAGAGGGAAGGAAGAGGAGGCTTCACGGGTGACTTCAGAGCTGCTTCTCACTCCTCAGTGTTGCCTCAGCCCTCTCCACGAGAAGGCATTTTGTTTCAGAAGCAGACGGGGCATCACTGAACAAGGCAAGGTCCCCTCCTAACTCCCACCCCTCTGACTCACACTATGCAAGACGAGCCCTCCGGGCAGCGGTTTTAAAAACCCCTTTTTATTACCATGGAAACTTACTGAACGTTCAGGGGGCTGTTGGACCGGGGGCTTCCTTTCTAGGGGATGTGGAGGAAACCATCTTATTGTACGGGTATCAATCTGGGTCATATCAGGAGAGAGAAACCACACAGTAAGGTGAATAGGGGTCTTTTACATAAAGACTTTTTAACTATAACGGGGGATTGGAGTAACGAGAGACGGGGTAGTAAAAAGTAACGAGAGGGCTAAATAATGCCACAAAAGCAGATAGAAGGGCATCTGCTACCCCTAGGCCTGAGATAAGAAATAACTCCCTTTCCCCACCCAGAGCTGATCCTTGGTGGAGAGGGCACGCTGTGGTTCCTGCACGGCCGAGAAGCCACTGGGGTGCAGGCAAAGTGGCAGACTTGCTGGAGAGCTCAGCTCTGGAACTTGCTCAAGTTCTGCCCTGCAGAACCTGCTGGAAATCTGTCCTCCAGGGTGCTAAGGAAAGCTGTTCATGGGACGGTGTCTCACCAGGGGCACTTTTCATGTGTACTTCCCTCACGCAAAATACTGAAAAGGTATGAGTTCGAGGACCGAGATTTAATCAAATTAATCATTTTTACTGCTTTATCAGAGACATTCTTAAATGAAATTGGCTGTTACCCCCCTGTTCTCCTGCAAATGTGCGGTGGTGTAGAACATGATGGCAGGTACGGTTGGGAAGGAGTGGGCTGAATCTAAGGCGCCAGCTGTTTACCTACCACTGCTTCTGCATCACCGCTGTGAATGTCAGCACAACAAGAAAGGACAAGAACAGTTTTGTACTATTATTCAAATAGTTTTGGCCCTGCAGGGCCCCTGAAAGGATCCTGAAACCACGGGGGTGCACAGACTACCCTTGGAGAACTGCTGAGTTGCTGGCTTGGCCAAGCCCCTAGACTAGGAAATAGGGGTAGAATTTAAATATTGGGCTCCTGGCCTCAAACCCTGTGCCATTTCCACCAAAACTGTCGGGGTTCCCAGTAAACAGCCCACCTCTTCTTTGTCCAGATTCTTAATAAGTTGAAAAATAAAACTAGGGTCCAAATGTCATCTTTTATTACAAATATAGACCAGGTTGAAGGACGTAGCATCAGGTCTGCCTGGAAATAGACTGTGTGTGTGTGTGTGTGTGTGCGCGCGCATGTGTGTGTGTGTGTGTGTGTGTGTGTGTAGGGCTGGGGAAGGCGTGGGGAGCATTGCCCAGAAAGACAGAGCCGAGCACAGGTGGTCTGCAGCCCCTCGCCCCCGGGGAGGTAGAGGGCAGGGCTGAGCTGAGCATGGTCAGTTACTCCTAAGACAGAGGAGTCTTCGGCCTTCATAAGACAGGGAAGAAACCCAGCCTTAGAACAGGAGTCTCAGATGCTTCCGACCCTCGCATTCCACATTCGAGAAGTTTTCCCTCCACCCCATGTCTGTATCCTACCAGCCAAAGGCAGTCTCTGAGTAGCCATTTCCCAAGGTTTCTTGTCATTTCTCAGATATGTTCAGCACCCCTCCTTAATGCCTTTGTAACTTTCTGTATCCTAGATCAAACGTAATCAGATGCTCTTTCAGACAAATAAAGCATGTCGCAAGTCCCCTTATTAAGAGGCAGTGAGGTTGAGGAAGAGAAGAGACCAGCTTCTGGCTGGGCCTCTGAGGGTCTGTATGGCGGTGGGACTTTCGCAGTTCAAGACGCAGCTGGTCAGATAACCCGGGTCAGGGCACCCGGAAGTGATCTGGGCAACTGGGTCCCCATCACCATGCTCATGTGCTTGTAATGTATCCTGGGAACTCATCCATCTGAAGGAGGCCCCTTTAGGGTGACCAGAGGCTTGTGTCCATCCTCCAAGAGGCACTACATCTGGGAACCTGGAAAAGCAAACAAATCATTAGACGGCTAAACAGACTTAAAGCCCAGGAAGTGAGACGAGTCTGGGCCGCTGCAGCACAGGCCTTTCTAGTGATTAAATCTTTGCGCTGCCAGGTGCGCGCTCCCGTTTTCCCCCTGGTCGGCGCCCCGCAATGGCGGACAGCTCTGCGTTCCGGCTGCGCCCTGATCAGCCGTCAGTGACTTCCATCCATCTGCTTGAGCTTGTGTGACATCATCTTCATCGGAACACAGTTAGCGTTTGTAGCAGGCCGAGCTAAGTTTACAGGTCATTTTCTGTTGATTGCGTTTTTGAGTGGCTGCTTCTCTGAGTGTCCGAAGAGGGCCAGTAATTCACCAGTGTGCGCTCTCCCAGTTGCTCCCACAGCCCCATTTACTCCGGGGAAGATTTCCTTTTCGACACTTGATCCGCGTCAGGAGTGTGGATTCCCATTAGGTCTGATCAAAGAGATCCTCTGTGATTTGCCCTGCCCTTAAAGAGCCGCCTGTGTTGGTTTATTTCACTAATAGATACTGCCTTTAATGTTGCTGGCAGCCTGTGGGAGCTTAGATTAATATCCTTTAAGCCGAAAACAATAGAAAGTGTGCAGGGGCCTTAAGCAAGACCAACCTTTGAGTTAAGAGTTTGGGATTTTGAAATGGAAAGCTTTTCCACCCTCACAAAGAGTTTTTTTATTTAAAGGCAAGTAAACAATTAGATGTTGTTAATATGCGTTTCGAAGTTAATTTTTTAGAAGAAACAAAACCTTAAAGATAAACCCCAGGTCTTTAACTTCAAGTGTGAATTTCTCCCTCAGAACCCCACGTTTATGAAGTTTCATTTGGGGAGTATCTGTTCCCGGCAACTTGGTCTCCAAATGGTCTGTAAGAGCTCTCACTATTAAAGCCCATTCATAAGGGAAGTTGTCTTTAAAGGAGTTCAGTTTTGCTTCAAAACTGAGTTTCTTGATTGTTTACTTGGTTTAAAAGAGTGTACTCTGGGGTTTGGGTAATTGACATGCTGTAGAGGACCTGGTTAACCTCCTCAGTGTGTCTTACCAGTGGGACCTTACATCAGATCTCCTGGAGAGTTTTAATCACACAGTTCCCAGGGGCCTGTAGATCACCCTCTTCATTTGAACATATGGCACTTTCGGGGCATGACACGTTCTCCCAGCTTACAGATGATGTTCTGTTGGTTGAACTGTAGAGTGGCTGCTTCTCTGGGTGTGCAGGGCGGCACCTTCATTCACCACTTAAATCTGAAACTCTGCGGCCAAGACATGAAAATCCAGGTTTTCACAAAACCCGCATTTTCAGAAAAAAATCACTGAAATGATTCTGACATATGCAAAGATCTGATGTGTTTCAGAACCTACTAACTTCGCTTTGCCAGGTTTCATTTGTTCCATGCCTCTCCAAGACGGGCTCTGGAGATAGGCTTCCAGTTCATACCCGACTCATGCCAGGTACCCACCAGCATTGGCAGCACCGACCTCTCGATATAGAGGAAAACGCTGGGCTGTTTGTACATTTCTTCATCCTTCCTCCTGTGCCGCTCTCTCAGATCTGCACTTTCTCCAGAGCTCCCCACGTAAAGGGATCTGAAGATACTGAATCTGACCTGTTGGCAGAGTGTGTACCTTGCTGAGAAGAGGATGAAGCGAGCATTTGGCTTCCTGGTGCTGGCATACACATTTTAATTTTAGGGTCTTCATCTGCTTTGGTAGATAAATCACAAACATTTCCATGAATAAGCACGTCTGTTATGCAAATTGTTTTCCGTCTGCTGGTCTGTTGAGAATAATGTTCCATAATTAAAACAGCTATTTACTTATGGGCAAATCAGCTTTCTTACCACCTTCTCCATTTGAGAGAGGCCTCCAACTGCTGCAGGAGCCCTCGTGTCTGGAAGGGCTGGAGGACTCTGTCTTTGTGGGCCTGTGGTCTGAGTTGGCAGGTCCTGGGACAGAAAAGGATTCAAGTACCGTACGTTACTCATTTGTACATTTATTCCGTGAGTGTTTATTGAGCACCTACATCATGCCAAAAACTGTGCAAGGCTGGGTATTCAGAGATGAACAGACCCAGTCTAGTTCTCCATAATTCACAGTCTAGTTAAGGAGAATTAAATTCAGCATGGTGTTCTAATGAGGGGTAAGTGTAAGGGTTCACGTAAGTCCAAGGAGGGTCCATAGTCCAGGATCAGGAAAAGCTTCCAGGCAGAGGTGACGTCTTCTCACTATGCTCCAGCCATGCTGGTCTTTCCTGCAGTTGCAGATTCCTCCCCAGTCCAAGTAGTTTCACTCTCTGTTCCCTCAGGATTGAATGCTGTTCCCTCTCCTTTTGACTATCTCCCCCCATACATCTTCAGGTCTTGGCATAAATACCGCTTTCTCAGGGAGGCTCCCCCTGACCTCACTCCCCACAAATCTACATGATGATTCCTCTGTTAGTTATTTTTCTTTCCTACCGCCCCATTCCTTTACAACACAAACATATTTGTATCTATGTGAATCTTTAAATAACTGTTTATTGTTCCTACTAGCATGTAAGCTCCTTTTCCTTCACTGTGTATACAATAGTGTCTGCCACACAGAAGACACTCAATAAATACTGGTGGGACACATGAATGAAACTACCCAACAAAGGCAAGTCAAGAAGCCTCTGGATCTCAGTTTCTTCATCTGAAAAATGGGATTTATGTGCCTACTTCACAGGATTTTTGGAGTGTGATTACCTGAGCAATGTCCCCCGGAGATTTTCGCATCCTAATCCTTGGTACCTGTGACTATGTGACCTTATACGGCAAAAGGGACTTTGCAGATGTGATCAAATTAAGGATCTTGAGATGGAGAGATTATCTTGGATTATCCAGATGGGTCTGATGTAATTACAGGGGTCCTTATAAGAGGGAGGCAGGAGATCAGAGGGACAGAGGGCGATGTGGTAATAAAAGCAGAGAGAGACCTGAAGATGTTATGTGGTTGACCTTGAAGGTGCAGGAAGGGGCCACAGACCAAGGACTGCAAGTTGGAAGAGGGAAGAAACAGATTCTTCCCTGAGCCTTCGCAAGGGACACCCCCCTCCCCCCACTGACACCTTGATTTAGCCCGGCAAGACTCATTTTGAACTTCTGACTTCCAGAGCTGTAAGAGAAAAAAATGTTATTTTAAGCCTCTAAACGTGTAGTAATTTTGTTACAGCATCAGTAGAAAACTAATACATGTAGGGATCCAAAAAGATCTTGTGTGAGATGACTCTTGGAAAAACACAAAGCCAGGAGTCATTATTAGTTTATGACAACTCACCCTTCGTTTATTCCATTTCTGTGCAGTGCTATGTAAGTTCCAGCTCCTATAATGAGGCGAGATGCTTGAATAATAGCCCTACACCCCAAGAAAGCGTACTTTTTCATAGTTTATAATTGCCATAGAGCTTGAAAATCTTCCAGGTCTTATAGTTCTTAATTATGCTCTCATGCATATGTATCAATTACCCACATGCTCCTACCTAGCTTGTTACTGCAAAGATATTTTAAAATATATATATTTGGAACAGTTTCCTCTGCATGCATCTCCCTCTGAAAATATCCTATGAAATATTTCACCTCCACTGCAATAATCCGTTCCAGTTGGGACATGCTTGCCAATCTTCTCCTGCATGATGAAATTAAACCTCCATTGTTGTCTGCTGCTGGCTCAATCCTACTTTTTCTACCTGGCAGTTCTCTCCTCTTAACTCCCAGGGGTGTCATTGTAGATTTGGTTCTCTGGGTTTGTGTCTACTTTGCTGAGTATGGTCTGCAATCTGGGAAGGATCAGGGAGTGCCTGACCCAGGAGGTTATATTGAAATGGCGGTGGAGGGGGAAGAAAGAGTGTTGATATTTTTGCTTGCTGTTTCTCCCTGTCCGAAGTGGCTCTGCACGGTCTATACTTCTGGACCACTGAGTTGCCACTGAATCTCAGTGCTAAGGGGAGGCAGTTTTATCTGCAAATCAATGACTTTGCCAAGTGATAGCATGGGAGTCCTCAAGTGGCCCTTCTGGTGATTTTTCGTCCCACCTGACTCAGTTTTTCAATTTGTAAGTCTATTTTCTTCTTTTCTGATTCCCCCCATTCCTTCTGTTCCTTCTCTCCCTGACTGCTCCCCCTGTCCTGGAGATGCCCATGGGAACGATACCTGCTTGTCTCTGTTGGGAGAATCACAGTAGATCTTCATTGGACATTTTCATCAAATGGACTAATGTCATTTTGTTGGTGAGCTGAAAGGTGGTGGTCTGCCTCAATTTTTTGACTGTTATAGTGAACTTAAAAAAATTTCTATTGTGAAAGGGGAGATTTCACCCGTGGAACCTCTATTTTTTAAAACATATGAGTTGTATCATTAGGTAAAACCTTTAACCTTTCTGCATTTTGGTTTCTTTATCTGTCAAATGGAGATAATAATACAAACACGGTAGTGTTGTTGGGAAGATTAAGTGAATTACTATGTAAAATGCTTGTCACGTATGGGGCACGGTCACTTGGAAAATACTTATCCTGTCCTCTGCCCCCGACTCCATTCTCATTGAGATGCATACACACTCCCTGGTGAATCTGCTTTAAAGGAAGATTCTGGGGTCTTCGTTCAGAAAGTCCAATTCAGTCAGTCTTGGGAGAAGTCTGGGAATGTGCACTTGGAGCAAGCTGCCCAGGTGGCATCGATACGGGTGATCTTCAGACTCTACTTTTAGAGACCGTTCCATGGGCTGTGAATATGGTGAGCTTGGGCCATAAGCATCTTCAGGGCAGCGCCTGTGTGACGTCAGTTTGTGTATAATCACAGTGCCCGTCACAGAGGAGACACCCGATACACATTGGCCAGTGTTAAATGAATACCTCTGTGCACTTTCCATATTACCTGATTTATTTTTTCCAGCTTTACTCCTCACTGGGTAATTAGAAGTCTATGTATAAAGTACACTAGTGTGACGACCCATCCTCTGAACCCCGAAACATATTCCTAGGGGACATCTGGAGTCCCCATTCTCCTCCATTCCTGCATGTCCAAATTTACCCATCTTTCAATAAGCCCCGGTTCAGAGCCACATTCCCTATGACGTCTTTCCTGGTTAGAGTTAACATTACCTTCCTCTTCAACCAGTTTCTCTCTGTCATGTAAAATAGATTAACTCATACAGGTTAAGTACGTGCATTGTCTCTCTCAGCAAATTACATGCTCTTGATGGTTTTCCCCATAATGTCTCTCAAATCCATCTCCTACTGCCATTTGGGCCACAGTTGGCCCAGTCCCAGCTCCATCATCTTGCTTGTATTTATGACATTAGCTTCTTCTTTGACTGGGTCAGGTGACTGTGAGTTCTGTATCTTTTCGATAAACTCTCCTTCAAGTAGGCTAGCTTGAGTGAGCCTCAAGCTCTCCGTTCTTTATCTTCAAAAGAAATGTGAGAAGCAATCAGTGATTGGGCATGTAATGGAGCAAACAGTTTAAATCTGAATTTGAGATGAACCTCGGCGGACTCACCTTTCTTAAAGACTGGAGCCATAAACATAGCTTCAGAAGAAACAAGCTGGGGATATCAGGCTTGTCTATAACTAAGCTGAAAGCTGGTACTTGTGTTTATTTATACACTTAGTGTTCTCTGTTACTCACACTTGGGTGAGGGAGACTTTCCTGATTGGACACCTGACCTAGCATGAGTTGGGCTCATGGCCTGCTCTGGGGGAACTGCCAAGACTGAGGTTCAATGTGGAAAGTCTTCTTTGCTGCCTCGAGAGACGGTAGTGCAAATGACAGGTACAGAAGAAATCAATCTAGCCCCCCCGCTTCCGGTCCAGTGGCAGCCTGGCCTGGCAAAGGGCTGATAGCCTTTTCTCTGCTCTTCTAGATTATTTCTAAGGTGTTAGCACCACGCTGATGCTCTTGTAAAATCACACTGGCTGCTATTCCCCTTAGATGGTGTCTCAGCCACCAGCTCTTAATGCCTTCAGATGTTCAAGGCAGCAGAGCCAGCGCTGTCTTCGTTGGCCGAGGTGCTGTCAGCTAGTCAGCAAGCGCTTACAGTGTGTCCCCTCGGTGCCCATCTCTGCACCAGGTGCTCTGTGCACTTGACTTACGTGTGTGAAGAAAATAGTTAATTTCCTGCTGGACATGCTGTTCCGGAAGGGTTCTGACGCTTTGGCGAGCATTGCCAGGGCAACCAGACCAGGAATCTGTTAATTAATCGATACTGCAGTGATCGTACTCCACTCTAGATAAAGTGAAGAGGAAGCTGGTTGAGATGCTTTTCTTCTCTGTGAGGGGTGGGTGAGAAAGAAACAAGGAGTTTTACAGTACAGGTTTTGTCCCATTTTAAAGCTAACTGGGACAAGACGGGGAGAGAACTGGTATGGGGGAGAGTTATGGATGAAAAGAGCTCAGCCCATAACCACGTGGATGACCAGCAGAAAAATGGTTGAAGGGTTTCTTAGGAGAGATGGAAACCACAGCATGAAAGATCTATCAAGGGAGAAGCTTAATTGCTGAGTTGGGGTTCAGGTTTCATGTAAAGTTTAGCCTTCCGATCAGGGCACCTGAGAAGATTCACTTAGGAGGGCTTTTGTAAAAACAGTTGGGAATTCATGAAGAAGGACACATCCATGTGAGTTTTATTTAATTTTGCGTGCGTGTATGTAATCACGAAAACCAATGACTGGTTGTCCAAGGCTGTGCCCATGATGGTTTTTGACATAGGGATGCAAATCCTTTCTGGCCACAGTCCTGGCTGCCTTTTGGTGCTTTGAACCCCATTCTGCAAGCAAAGGTCTTTGGAATCAGGGTGGACTCCAAAGGAACTCATTTGTAAGTTGGACAGAGCCGATTAGATTCTTTTTATCTTCAAGAATCTCACTAAGAAACTAAATTCGTTGATAACTAGGAGCTTAAGTGAGGAGGGGGTGGTCACAGAGATCTGTGCTAGGCAGCCACGTCTTCCACGAGCACTCAGATGCAGAGAGCAGCGCTGGTGGGGGCAAGGAGGATTCTTTCTTGCTTTCTTTCTCTTGCTTTCTTGCTTTTCTTTCTTCCTTCCTTCCTTTCTTTCTCTCTCTTTCTTTCTTTCTCTCTCTTTCTTTCCTTCTTTCTTTCTTGATTTCTTTCTTGCTTTTCTTTCTTTCTTCCATCCTTTCTTTCTCTATCTCTTTCTCTTCCTTCCTTCCTTCCTTCCTTCTTTCTTTCTTTCTTTTTTCTTTCTTTCTTTCTTTCTTTCTTTCTTTCTTTCTTTCTTTCTTTCTTTC